TGGTGTTAGTTCTTCTCTAAATGTTTGGTAGAATTTGCCAGTGAAGCCTCTTGCCCTGGACTTTCCTTTGTTGGGAGTTGTTTTGTTTTTGTTTTTTTCCCTCAATTGTTTTTTTTTTTAACATTTTGTTTATTCTTGAGAGATAGAACATGAGTGGGGGATGGGCAGAGAGAGAGGGAGACACAGAATCCGAAACAGGCTCCAAGCTCTGAGCTGTCAGCACAGAGCCCAAAGAGGGGCTCAAACCCACAAACCACAAGATCATGACCTGAGCTGGAGTCTGACCCTCAACTGACTGAGCCACCCAGGCCCCCCTGTTGGGAGGTTTTTACTTACGGATTCAGTCTCCTTACTAGTGATTGATCTGTTGAGATTTTGAATTTCTTCACAATTCAGTCTTGTATTTTTCTAGATTGTATGTTTCTTCTAGGTTTCATTTCTTCTAGGTTGTCCAATTTATTGACATGTAATTGTTAATGTGTCTTATGATTTTTTTATATTTCTGTGATATCAATTGTAATGTATCTTTCATTTATAATTTTATTTGAGTCCTCTTTTTTTCCCCTTGGGAACTCTAGCTAAAGGTTTGTCTATTATGTTTATCTTTTCAAAAATCCAGCTCTTATTTTCATTGATCTATTGTGTTTTAAGTCTCTGTGTCCTTCATTTCCACGCTGATCTTTGTTATTTCTTTCCTTCTACTATCTTTGGGCTTAGTTTTTTCTCCTTTTTCTAGTTCTTTGAGGTGTAAGTTTAAGTTGTTTATTTAAGATCTTTTTTTCTTTTACTGTAAGTGTTTTTCAGTGTAACCTTATCTTTTAAAACTGTTTTTGCAAACATTTTTAAAAATGGGGCACCTGGGTGGCTCAGTCGATTCTTGATTTTGACTCGGGTCATGATACCAGGGTTGTGGGATTGAGCCCCAGGTCAGGCTTAGAGCCTACTTGAGATTCTCTCTCTCCCTCTCGCTGCCCTCTCCCTCATCTCAAAATAAAGAAATATTTTTAATAATTGTTTTTGCTGTGTTCCATAATTTTTGTTTTGTTGTTTTTTCATTTCATTTGTCTCAAGGTATTTTTTTTTAATTTCTCCTTTGATTTTGTTGGCTGTTCAGAAACATGTTCAGAAGCATCTCCACATAATTGTGGGTTTGTTTGTTTTTTTTGGTTTTCTTCTCATAATTGACTTTTTTAAATGTTTATTTTTGAGGGAGCGAGAGAGAGAGAGACAGGGAGAGACAGAGCATGAGTGGGGAGAGGCAGAGACAGAGGGAGACACAGAATCCAAAGCAGGCTCCAGGCTCCAAGCTGTTAACACAGAGCCTGACGCGGGGCTTGAACCCACGAACCACAAGATCCTGACCTAAGTTGAAGTCGGATGCTCAACTGACTGAGCCACCCAGGCGCCCCTCTTGTAATTGATTTTTAGTTTCATATCATTGTGGTTGGAAAATATGCTTGATATGATTTACATTTTTAAAAATTTCGTAAGACTTGTTTTGTGGCCTAACATATGACTTATGCTGGAGAATGTTCCATGTGCACTTGAGAAGAATGTGTATCCTGCTGCTGTTGGAAGAAATGTTCTGTATGAATCTGTTAGGTCTATCTGGTCTAATGTGTAGGTTAAGTCTGATCTTTAGACACTTAAAAAAAAAATTTTTTTTTTGAGAGAGTGTGAATGAATGGGGGAAGGGCCGAGAGAGAGGGGTTCAGAGGATCTGAAGTGGGCTCTTCGCTGATAGCAGCTAGCCCAACGTGGGGGGCTCGAACCCACAAATTGCGAGATCACAATCTGAGCTGAAGTCAGATGCTCAACTGACTGAGTCACCCAGACACCTCCTAGATACTGTTCTAAGCCTTCTGGCTTTCATGGTTTCTGTTGGTCGGCTATCAGTCTTATCAGGCTACTTAAAAGTAAGCTGTCTTTTTTTAGTCTCTGGCAGCTTTTAATGTTTTTGTATTTGATTGTTAGCAGTCTTCTGTGGTACACTTGGGTATAGTTTTTCTTTTTCCTTCTGGGGTTCATAGGGCTTTTTGAATCAATAGTGATGTCTTTTATTGGTTTCGGGAAATTCTCAGTCATCATTTTTTAGCTATTGCCTCTGCCCCATTCACTATCTCCCAGGGATTTCATTTACAGATACATAGGGCTTTATTATTTACCCTCTGTGTTGTTCTGTCTTCTAGTCTCCCTCCCCATATTTTTGTGTATCTTTGTTTCTTTGTAGATATTTTTTTCTGATATGGCTCCCATTTCTGTAATTTTCATTCATCTGTGTGTTTCTATTTTGTTCTAAATAATTTTTTTATTGACTATTTTTTTGTTTCTAGAATTATGTGGTTCTTGTTCACATTTTCTGTGGCCTTCCTTACTCCCCACCCCAGTTTCTAGTTCTCTGCCAAAGTTCCCAGTCTTTTTAAATAATCCTTATGTACACAGTACTTATAGTTACTGTAAAGTGTTTAATAACTTTACCATCTGGAGGCCCTGTGACCCTGTTACTTTAGGCTACTACTGTTTGTCACTTTTCAGTAGATTGGCCCAAGTCTATGAATTTCACTTTAAGTATTGCTTTGGTTGCGTCTTATAGTTTTGTGTATATACACATTTTCTCATTCACTAAATATTTATTTATTTCTCTGTTTTTATATCATGAGGACTATTCACATGCATATATTTTAGTTTCTTAATAGATGGGAAGTTTAAAGCTATCTTTGTAGCAGATGTCTAAATTTATTGTATTATGAAAACATGTTGTTTTTGCTCTTGTGACTTAAGATTTTTTCTTTTATTATTCAGAAATACCCTCACAATGTTTATAGATGTACTTTTCAAAATTTGTCTTCTTTGGGATTCAGTGGACTCCTTAAATTCATGGATGTGTATGTTTATTTTGGGGAAATTCTTGCCTGTTATTCTGTTACCACCCCCACTGTCTTTTTAAGATAATTTTTGGCATTCTTATTGAATAGATACTGGAATATCTACATCTCTCCTTCATATATCAACTTTTTCTTGTATACATTTTATCATTTCATTTCCTTGTGATATTCTGGATCATATTACCCAAGGAATAGTCCCTTATACAGAGAGCCACCCCCCTAAGCTTTAGGCTTATGATAATAGTGGCAGTAATGGATACTTAAGGGTCTCTAGCCAGTGCTGTTCCTCATTAACCCCCATTTGGTTGTTGACCTTCAGTACTTATTTTTTACTCCTGTGTTTGAGATAATATTTTTCATGTCTTTCCCCCACTATTTTCTATATATGAAGCAAGTTTGTGTGTGTGGGGGGGGTGTACTAAAATCTTGTAAGTGTATAGTAAAACTTTCTCTAACAGGACCAACCTAAATTTCTATCTTCTGTGATGGCCTGGGGAGAATTAAAGAGTTAAGCCAAATAGAAAATCGATAAACCCCTTCTTTGGAATTGGGGAAGCAAACAGTGAGTCCCTGCATTTCCAATATTTTCTGGGTCATATCTCTCTGAGTTAGGCAGAGTGACAAAATGACTTCCAGCTACTTAGAGATCTTGGAATCCTTGCTGGTGTATTGGAATTCCCAGCTAGCCACAGACCTAGAATTGCCCCTTTAGTATACAATAGAGGCCAGAGCAGACAAGCACAACCAGGGGGGACAAAATCACAGCTGTCCCCTGAACAGGTTTGGATGGAGCCAGCTAGACTTCCCACCTGCTTAACTATCGAGGCTGGCCTTGGACATTTTTGTCCCCTCACTATAACCCCACCCACATTTTACATCTCCCATGTTTTGGATTCCACTTCCCTATATTTTGGCAAGAATTTATTGTACTTTTAAAAAGTCACGTAAGCATAAATTACAAGTAAAGTCTGCCTCTGACAAATAGCAAGTTACATTTCTGTGGAACTCGCTACTCTTCCTCGCCAGTAAGCTAACTTTCCAACTGTCCTGAAATGGTACAGGTATCTCTCTCTCTCTCCCTCTCCCCCCACCTCTCTCCCTTTCTCGTTCTCTCCCCCCCCACCTCTCTCCTTCTCTATCTCCCCCTACCACACACACAAATACACACAAACATGTGTGCAAATATGTGTATACTTACACCTAGAGATATAATCATACATAAGACGGTGTTTCTTTTTTTTACATAAATGCCATTACACAGTATGTATCATTTGGCAACATTGTTTTTTAATTTAACTTAAAATTGACTGCAGGTATCTAAAATTCTGGTTCATCTGTTACGTTTACAAAATTGATTATCATATACCACATTTTATTTATTCATTCTTCACTCTCCCTCCCATTCCCAACGCCTATCTGGGTACTTTTGAATTGTTGCCACTTACCACAGTGCTGCAAAAACATCATTAGACTTGGCTCCTAATAAACATGGAGCGAATGTTTCTCTGAGGATCAGATATTTCCCCCTAGAGTTAATTTGAAATTATAAGAGATTTTTTACTCATGCCTTTTCCGTGCCTGATATGTGTGCCCTTGTTGGCGCTTACATTTCTCTACTAGCGTGTGCAAGAAAGTAGACTGTGACTAATGCCACTCGTTCTCTTAGGAATACATGGTCCTGTATTCACCTTGGATTACTTAATTGCCTCTCTATGGTGGATTTCCTGGTGTTTCTGTTACAGAGCTCTTTAAGTACAGATTATTTTTAAATTGTTCCACTTATAATGTCTAGGAAAGATGGTATTTCTTTTCCTTTATAGAGCTAACATCTAAATTACATTTGAAAATGTTAGATGCTTTTGTGAATCAATCAGGGTAACCCGATTGATTCCTGTTTTCCATTCTTCTTTGAAGGGACAATGTTCTTAGGTTTTCTTTTCCTCATTCCCTTCATTCTGTATTTGTCTATTCTCTTATATCCTGTTCTTTGGTAACGTACTGGGATATTCCCCCCTTCTTATAAGAGTTTTAGGTTACTAGACTGAATTTCATTTACACATTAATTAAAGATTCGTTTTCCTCTTGTTCCCAAAGTTGAAACACATACAGCAGGAATTGCTCATGAAAGTCCAGGTTTGTATTCTTTCACTAACTAGTTTTGTGACCTTTCGGCAAGACTTTGGACATTTATTTAAGTAATCTACAAAAAGAGAAGGCTTGAATAAATGATCTTCAGGCTTTCTTCCAGAAACTTCTTTAGTCAAATTCAAATGTGTAATTTCATGTTTAAATGGTGAGGAACTTGAAGAAATTATTTATTGCCTTTGGTATAAGCTTATTTATGTGTGTTAAGATTTTTGAACTGTAAATAAACATATATAGAATAGATTATAAGGTATTGAAAGCATATATTTTGTTTTATAGGTGTTTGTTTTGTCTTGCTGTTTTAAAATTACATCAAAATGCCAATAAGACCAGATCTCCAGGTATGTGGTCCTAAACCAAAAGGAAATATTTTAATTCCTAAAATCATTTTGGTTTATTTATAAGTGTTAAATGCTATATTTTTAGGAAAGACGAAGCCTACTTCTTTTTATGAAATGGTCAAGAGTAGAATAGTTTAACATTTTTTAACTAAAAATTTTTTTTAATATTATTTACTTTTGAGAGAGAGGGAGAGCAAGCGCAAGCTGGGGAGGGGCAGAGAGAGGGAGGGAGGCACAGAATCTGAAGCAGGCTCCAGGCTCGGAGCTGGCAGTCAGCATAGAGCCCAACGAAGGGCTTTAACCCATATGAACTGTGAGATCACGACCTGAGCTGAAGTTGGATGCTTAACTGATTGAGCCACCCGGGTGCCCCTCCAGAGTAGAATAATTTAAATGAAATGTTATTCTTTCATTTTTTTTGATAAATTTGTTTTCAAAACCTATTATAGGGGCGCCTGGGTGGCGCAGTCGGTTAAGCATCCGACTTCAGCCAGGTCACGATCTCGCGGTCCGTGAGTTCGAGCCCCGCGTCAGGCTCTGGGCTGATGGCTCAGAGCCTGGAGCCTGTTTCCGATTCTGTGTCTCCCTCTCTCTCTGCCCCTCCCCCGTTCATGCTCTGTCTCTCTCTGTCCCAAAAATAAATAAATGTTGAAAAACAAAACAAAACAAAACAAAAAAAAACCTATTATAACTTGTGAGGTATGAAAGATGCTGGTTATTTACATATACCTTTTACATTGACAAGAATTACACAGTGATGCATATATAGCCAGTGCCTGGGTATTTTTATGTTAGGATTTAGAATTGTAAGATACTATCATTTAGGTAAAAAGTTTTAATATATGTATTTAATGTGTATGTAGTTTACCACCAAATCTGGGGTTTAGATTGTAGTATAAAAATTCCTTATTAGTGGTTTATGCTTTAGTAGTAAGGATGGTGGATTCTGTAAAAGTTAAAAAGTGCACAGGATACTAAGTGAATTCTTAAATTGTATTGACTTGTGGTTTCCAAACAGTGCTTTTGTCTGTCTTTAAGCATTTTTAAAAAACTAAACCTCATCAAGAAATTTACAGTCGGATGTGTTAGGGTTTTCTCCATGGTGTTAAGTATTAGTTACTATATAGTTTATTTCACTTCTTTTATTAATAGGGTCTTTGTTTTTAATTTTTTTTTTCAACGTTTATTTATTTTTGGGACAGAGAGAGACAGAGCATGAACGGGGGAGGGGCAGAGAGAGAGGGAGACACAGAATCAGAAACAGGCTCCAGGCTCTGAGCCACAGCCCAGAGCCCGACGCGGGGCTCGAACTCACGGACCGCGAGATCGTGACCTGGCTGAAGTTGGACGCTTAACCAACTGCGCCACCCAGGCGCCCCAATAGGGTCTTTGTTTTAAACTTAAAAAAATTTTTTTTAATGTTTATTTTTGACAGAGAGACAGAGCATGAGTGGGGGAGGGACAGAGAGAGAGAGGGAGACACAGAATCTGAAACAGGCTCCAGGCTCCGAGCTGTCAGCACAGAGCCCAGTGCGGGACTTGAACTCACAGACCGCGAGATCATGACCTGAGAGCCAAAGTCGGACGCTCAACTGACTGAGCCACCCGGGCGCATCCTAAACTTTTTTTAATGTTTATTTTTTGAGGGGGGGGGTGGGAGAGAGAGAGAAAGAGGGAGAGTGAGTGTGTGAGCAGGGGAGGGGCAGAGAGAGAGGGAGACACAGAATCCCAAGCAGGCTCCAGACTCCCAAGCTGTCAGCACAGAGCCCGACATGGAGCTCAGACTCATAAACTGTGAGATCATGACCTGAACTGAAGTCCGACTCTTAACTGACTGAGCCACCCAGGTGCCCTGGGTCTTTTTTTTTTTTTTTTTTTAATTCATCGTACTGATGACTTTAAAGGATGTGAAATGGAAAATTACTAGAATATATATATTTTATATAGAATCTTGGCTATTATCAAAGAAACTTGATCTCTGTTACTTCAAACTTAATAGTGTACAGGTGTTTTTTTTAATAAAGTGAATTGACATAAGATCTGTTGAGAATTTTCATGTGAAGACTAGACTGCATAAGGTGATAATTTTGGTTTTGATTCAATATATGTGCCATTAACTATATTTCTCTAGCAGTTGGAAAAATGCATTGATGATGCTTTAAGAAAAAATGATTTCAAACCTTTAAAAACACTTTTACAAATTGGTGTTTGTGAAGATGTAAAGATTAAATGCAGCAAGCAATTTTTACACAAGTTGGATGACCTTGTATGCAGGGTAAGTACTCCTTTTCTTTGAATGATTATTGAAATTATTAGATAGCACTCTACTTTCTAGGAAGAAATATTCCATTGGAAAAAAATGAATAAAAAGGCTTTGGCAAATTCGGTTATAGTTATATAAATAAGTGCTCATTTTTTAAAATATTTATTATTGAGAGAGAGAGAGAGAGCATGCACGGGCAGGAGAGGGGCAGAGAGAGAGGGAGACACAGAATCCGAAGCAGGTTCCAGGCTCTGAGCTGTCAGCACAGAGCCCGATGTGGGGCTTGAACTCATGATCCACGAGATCATGACTTGAGTCAAAGTCAGACACTTAACCGACTGAGCCACCCAGGTGCCCCAGTAAGTGCTCATTAAAAACCAAAAAAAGCCTGAGGAATCCCAAGTAACATATCGGTCTGCTGTTTTCTAAATACAACATACACAAAGCTATGTTTGCATAGTGATCCCATAATTATTAACTGTTACCTAAACTGGGGAAAAATAGTCTACCTGTTTAAAGTTTGAGCAACTTTTTAAAAAGCCATCAGCATATTCTTCATGTTATGGGCCAGAGCTTGGTGTTTTCAAAAATAAAACAAATAAACAAAAATTATCTACAACCTTGGACTTGATTTATCATATGTAAGGTATTTTTATACATGAGAAAAAGTGAGTATTGACAGTCTCCCCCAGTAGGAGATTTGTTACCATGAATCTAAAAATTGAGTGAAAATTTCTTTTATCCATTAGTTACATACATAGAGCTTTGTAGAATGGAAGGTAACTGATGCATTGCATCATAGTCTAAAGTTGCAGGAATTTATACAAATCTGCATTTTTATACTGAGTTTGTCACTCATTGGCTGGGTGGCTTTAGGCCACCCTAGTGCTCTCCTAAACCACACTTTTGTACTTTGCAATATGGACATTAGGATAATGGCAAACTTACAGGATTTGTGAGGATTATAAAGCTCCTAGCACAATGCCAATTCTGTACTGTTTTGTGTTTACAGATGTTTACATGTATCCTTTTGTTTCAGGAGCTTAATAAAAAGGACATCCAAACCGTTTCAACCATTTTTGTTTCTTTTGGAAGATGTGGTAAAAATATCAGTATATTGGGGCAAGCCGGACTTTTAACTATGATAAAACAAGGACTAGTCCAGAAGATAAGTACGAAATGTGTGATGTTGATGTGAGGGAGTATGATTAAAGGTGTGTCGTTTAATAAAATTAACAGCTCAAACAGTTGAAAAAGAAATTTGAGAACTTTATAAAAACTTTTAGATAAAATAAATGTTTCTATAACCTGTGCTATGTGTTACAAAGATGAAGATCAAAAGGACATTCTGTACATAGGCTCCTTGATAATCATGTGAATTTGAGATCACAAGACTCCCTGAGGCCTTTGCATGCTTTATTTTATCTGTTTACTATCTAGCATTATTTGTTTTTCTTTTTATATTATTTTCTACTTCCCATGCTAGAATGTGGGATATTGATTTTTATTTGTGGTGTTCGTTTCTGTGTACCTAACACTGAGAACAGTACCTGGGATGTAATATCTACTCAAATATCTGAATTCATTAAAATAAAATAATTCATTAAAACAAATTCATTAAGGGGCGCCTGGGTGGCTCAGTTGGTTAAGCATCTGATTTTGGCTCAGGTCGTGATCTCACAGTGCATGAGTTCGAGCCCCGCGTCGGGCTCTGTGCTGACAGCTCAGAGCCTGGAGCCTGCTCTGGATTCTGTGTCTCCCTCTCTCTCTCTGCCCCTCCCCTGCTCACACTCTGTCTCTTTCTGTCTCTCAAAAATGAATAAAATGTTACAAAAATTTTTTAAAATTCAATAAAATAATACTAAAACTTTTCAAATAGTGATAATGCCAAAATAATGTAATATATGATGATAATTTATTTTTATCTGTTAATGAATGTACCTGAACTAGGTATTTGAAGGGGAAAAGAAAGGTGGTCTACCTAGAATTAGGATTAGTTCATCTATTCCCATCTAAACAATGGAAAAATATGGTGAGATACCAAAAAATGAAAACAAGAAAGATGTTTAAAAACATAAACTTATTTTCATATAATACTGGAATTTTTATTTTTGATGTTTCTTTATTCCTAGGTTTACTGTTTATGCAAAGATAAGTACATTCTTAAAATTATTAAAATTGAATTCAAAGTAATTAATATGCACATTTCGTTTTTTACATGGTTGCCTGGTTTGAAAAATCCAAGGAGATTATTCTCAGTCGAGGAAATTCAAAAGATGAGGCAGCTATAAATATGATAGAAGACTTACTTGATCTTTTGATGGTAAAAATCACATTGATTAACTAATCTTACAAGTCTGTTTACTTAAAAAACAATTTGTGTTCTATATGTTCTGAGCCTAAAAGTCACTAACAAATTGGCTAGTGACTTGATTTAAGTACTCTATTCAGATTGTCTAAAGCACTTATCCTGATTAATGTAATTAAATAGTTAATAAATAAAAGTTAAATAATTACATGGTGAGTTCCAATGTGATCTGTTATTTTAATACTATTTTTAATGGCTTATAAGATAGTAAATTACAAACTAAATATTCACTTTTTTTTTCAGGTCATACATGACATCAATGATGAAGGTATAATAAGCATTTTACTTCTATTAAATCAATAATTTCCTATTAGAGTTTTAGTATAATTTTGCAATCCTCATAGTATTGTGCTAATATTAGGAATCTACTAGTTAATTTGGGGATCAACAACCTTGTTCTGTAAAGGGACAGATAGTAAACATTATAAGCTTTATATTAGGACCAAGAAAAAGAAAGTGAGAATATTATATAGCCACTTATATAACAAGAAAATAAATATCCACAGATGTTTTATTTATACAATTCAAAATATTATAAAATTGAGTACAATGTTTCTGTAATAGGTCAACTAATGAGAATAGTACTCTTGAGGGGATGACATTTCACTTAATTACGGTTCAGAGTTAGTGTTTGCTGTTACCAGAATTCATTGCAAATGTTCATTTTTTATGCTTATCTGTAATGAGATTTTATGTATATTGCATTAGAAACTGTCTCTTCATGTGGATAATGCCAAATATCAGTTCATGAGCATGATTTTTAATTGAGCGTGTTCATCACTTGGAAAGCATTTGTAGAAGATTAGATTCCTTTCTTAATATTTGCTTTTTAGAATGTCATTGCATGCAGATGAATGACTGTCAACTGAAGGTTAGGTAGACCCCCCTCAATTGCACATTTAAATGGGTTTTGAAATATGGGAATGTCCTTTGCACTTTGTCAGTGTCCAAAAATGCTGCTCAACCTGTAGCTGGAGTTTGGAAAAAATGTACTCCTGTAAATTTGTGTGAGAATGGAGATGTCACTCCTTGTTTTAATTTTTGACAGCCTGGGAAATGTATAAAACAGTTTAGCATAACTTGTGATTCAGATAACCTTAGTTTCATTGAAATGACTTCAGTGAAGTATAAGTTTGTCATATCAGCATGATTTTGCCTTGTAATTTTGTGTCAGATTCATTAAGAAACATCAACTCTGGGGCGCCTGGGTGGCTCAGTCGGTTGAGTGTCCGACTTCGCTCAGGTCACGATCTCACGGTCCGTGAGTTCGAGCCCCGCGTCGGGCTCTGTGCTGACAGCTCAGAGCCTGGAGCCTGCTTCAGATTCTGTGTCTCCCTCTCTCTCTGGCCCTCCCCCCGTTCATGCTCTGTCTCTCTCTGTCTCAAAAATAAATAAATGTTTTTTTAAAAAAAAAGAAACATCAACTCTGCAGCCCATGCTAATTAATTACAGAAACCATTCAGTGGTAACTGATGTTGGCTAAGTTCATGAGAGTAGAATGAAATTCGCTTTGCTACTGCTGGTTCAGTGAAACATGATTGAATCAAATATTTCCACAGAGTCACCTGCTGATGAGTAATACAGCCATACAAATGGGCAGTGGGGTGGATTTGGTTTGTGGGCCATAATTTGCCAACTCTTGATCTAATGGGACAAAATTTTCAAAATAGAGAACACATTACAACTCATCCTCACTTGTGAGTAGCCCTTTTTTTGTGCCAAGCAATCAGTCCAAATTATTTTATCTCTGTTGGTTGAGGAAGAATTACCTAGGATTAGTCTTTGAGGCTGGTGAATTGTTTGTAAATAAAGGAACAATTTGCCTTCAAAACCAAAACCTTTGAAAAGCTCAATTGCTATTTATTTCAATGGTAGTTGATGCTACCTTTTCATTGATTGCTTTGCAGTTGATTTAACAGTCTAGTCTAAATTCTTAAGTTTTTAGGGAAGAAAACCATCCTGAGGCACCAGTGAGTATGAAGTAATCAAAAAAAAATTTAAGTAAATCATTATATCTTTTTTTTTTTAATTTTTTTTTTTAACATTTATTTATTTTTGAGACAGAGAGAGACAGAGCATGAATGGGGGAGGGTCAGAGAGAGGGAGACACAGAATCCGAAACAGGCTCCAGGCTCTGAGCTGTCAGCACAGAGCCCGACGCGGGGCTCGAACCCATGGACCGTGAGATCATGACCTGAGCCGAAGTCGGCCGCTTAACCGACTGAGCCACCCAGGCGCCCCAATCATTATATCTTTTTATCTCATTGAATGATTTTTTTTTTCCTTCAATGTAGTCACTTTGGAAATTTGTATATTTTCTGTTGCAGTATTGCCATTATTTAAAATTATTTTTTATCTCTGCATTATAAAATAGCATGTGGCAAATTCCTCTGAATATATTTAGTATTGATAAAGCCTGCTCTTTTGAGAATAGGGTTAACTTTTAGAAAAAGCTCAAATATTTAGATCTTTATATCGACAAGAGTTTATGGCCATTATGGAATTTACAGTATACAGTAAAACCTTGGTTTATGAGAATAACTCAGTCCGAAAACATGCTTGTAATTCAAAGCACTTGTATATCGAAGTGAATTTCCCCGTTAGAAATGGAAACTCAGATGATTTGTTCCACAACCCAAAAATATTCATATAAAAATGATTATGATATTGTAATATAGTACAAAATTATAAAATACAAAATATAAAGAAAAATACACAAATGAACCTGCATTTACCTTTGAAAACTTTAGTGGCGTGGATGAAGGAGACAAGAGAGAGGAAGGTAATTGTGTAGGACAGCTTTCTCTATCACTGACTGAATCACTGCTATCTATGGAATCTTTTTCTTTTTGTGCAACTTAATCAAGGAACTTATCCAATGACACTTACTTTTGCCTTCTTTAGAGGATTTTGCAGAAGTGTGACATTGCGTTGTCGTTAAACAGATTCATCGCTTGCACTGCTACAGCCTTATTCGGGTGGTGATGTTCTACAAAATCTTGTACTTTTTCCCACATTTTACACATCTCCCTAATTTCATTTGAGGTGAGGGATTCCTCCGCCTTTTCTCCTCTTCCTCTTCTCCTCCTCCTCTACAGACGAGATGCAGACGTAGACTTCTTACAAAATCTTGCAGTTTTGGCCATTGCATACCTCATTCGTACTTCTCGATGGTTTCCTTCTTAACTTCCACCGTAATCCTCTCTTCTTGTAACCACCTTTCTTTTCAGCCTTTTTGCTGGGAGCCATTGTATACGCTCGCCCGATGTTGACTACAGTATTAATAAACTCTTGCCATATACTGTATAATGTCACTGGCAATACGGCAGCAGAGGAAAGGATCTATATCTGTAGGCAGCCTGACCTAGAATGAAGCAAAGCGTTCCTAAGCTCACTCTTGCCTGGAAAAGCAAAGGACTGTCCATAGGTGCTTCAAAATGACAAAAAATACACTAGCACCAATTGTGGGCACCTTCCAATGTCCTGAATAATCACTGATTTCTGCCAAATACCACGTCCTGAAACTGAGCACGTGAGCATGGGAGATTGTCACCCATGATCCTTCAGAGAGAGAAAGAGAGAGAAGACCCATTGGCTGGTTGTGATCAGGTGACATTCAGCATCTCGTACGACTCGTATTGCGTGACCTTGCTCATTTATCAAGTTAAAATTTACTAGAGATGTTTGCTTGTCTTGTGGGATACTCGCAGAACAGGTTACTTTTAATCCAAGGTTTTACTGTATGACTAAATTAATGAGGCCTGTTTTCATAAGAACTTCACTATAGAAATTTCAACTCTTGAACTATAAGTCAGTACTGCCTTAGGTGCTCAAAAGGAGAAGCTGAATCTGGGGTTTTTCCTTTGCCATTAAGATGAGTCATTCTGTTGAATGGTGTTTCTTCGGAGCCACATAGCTAGTTCATAGAAGAGGTAGGATTGGATTTCATGTTTTCTGATGCCCATCTAGACAGTGGGCCATGTCTGAACTAGTGCATTCTTTCATTAACTCAAATAAGAAAAGACTGTCATTTAAAATGGTTTAAAATGTACATTTATTAATGATTTAACACTTTCAGGTAAAAGGCAAGTAGCGGAAAATTTTATACCTCAAATCTGTGTCCTGGTTATTGACTCAAGAGTGAATATTTGTATTCAGCAAGAGGTAAAGTCATTTGTTAGATTTTCTTTTAAAACCTAAAAATGAGAAAGTGAAGAAAATATAGTAGCAATTCATCAAATTGAATAATCATTTTATCTTGGTATTCAATTAATTGTGTATTGTATTTCTGCTGTCTTAATTTATTGCCTGAAATGATGAATAAATGTTACCTAAATATTCATTGAATAGTCATAGCCATCTGGGTTTATGTACACATAGCTCAGATGAAAAGAAGTTCAACCATCCAGATATTAGGAGTTCTCAGTATTTAAATCCTAAAAATAACCTGTATTATTATATATATGTGTGTACGTATAGGTAACCGTAAGAACAAATCATAATTTTGCTTTAGTTCTTAGAGTGATAGAAAACCTATGTCTTATTGCAAAGAGTAGAACTGGACTCATGGTATATTCTGTTTTTGATAAGTGTAGGTATCATGGTATATTTTATTTTTGATATCCTTGTCATGTGTTTTTGTATTCACTGTTTTAGTTCATATTCTTCCCTCCACCGTTCTCTATTCCCTGCATAAAATGCTGTGCTAAATAGGTTCCTAAGTTTGTATACCTAGAATATTTCTTTAAATACTTAAATATACACATGTATATATTTATATAACTGAATATATAAAGTTAATGGATTCTCTTTTTTTCTTTTCTAGGCTGTAAAAAAAATGAATGTTATGCTTGACAGAATGCCTCAGGACGCCAGAACAATACTCTCTGACCAAGAAATGTTTATTCTCATGTAATAATTTGTATTATATTGCTCTCATTAGTGGTTCAAGTCAATAATTTAAAGGATATTTTACAAGGCTATAGGCAACCATGAGTTGCATTAATAATTAAAACTGATAAGCTGTTTTAGATTTGTAATATAATTTATGGCTATATGTCCTGCAGAGATCTGTGATACTAGCCAGTTGTAAATTTTAGTGAAAATTTCCCCCCCAAATACATGGGTTTTCTATTTAATTGATACTAGTTTAGTATATGATCTGTTATTTTGGTTTACAGGAGTAGTATGGGAGAAAGGATTTTAGATGCTGGAGGTAAGTATGTTTTTTTTCAAATGTTCATATTTGAAATTATTCAAGATTTATTAATAGAATATAATATCTTCTTAGTCAAAATAACATTAACATTTTAATGTAGTGAGATTATGTGAGGAAATTATAAACTCTGTACAATTGAGCAATTTTCAATTACTAATAAGAAATGATCTGTATCTATGGGGCTAAAATAATAATTAAGCATGATAATAGGAGTTGTTAAATATAATTTATGCCTGTTGTAGATTTATGAATAATAATTTAATTTTCTAATAGATTTGAATTACTTTTCCTAAGAAATTCCTCAAATAGTTTTATATTTGGAATTGGGAGTTTTAATATTTTGGGGACTAATAAGTTTGTTTTTAAACAATGTGTTTATTAGAAGAACTCAAATTTTCTTTTGTCAGTTTCATATGAGAACATTTTGATGTGTAGTGATTTACATATAGAACAGACCACTGGTTAAAGTACTTTGGAATAACTATAAACATAGTACAAAAGTAAAAGATTCTGTGATTTATAGATTATTGTATGAGTTATTTTGCAATTCACAACTCTAATAATGGAATGGCAGAGCCTTTGAGTATTTAGGAGTTTCTTTTAAATATCCTGTTTTGGGGAAAAGTTTTACTCCTTTTTCTGCTGGTAAACTTATTATTTGGACTGTGTTCATTTTTGCGATGATGGGATAGATCTAATTCTTCTAAAGAAAATGGCAAAAAAAAGAGTGAATTACACTAACGTTTTCTTTCTTTCTCCTGCTTGTTCTAATACCTTATAAATGATGACGTGTGAGCTTCTTTTTCACAATTTCAAATAACATATTAACGATTTTTTTCAAGATTATGATTTACAAGTAGGTATCGTAGAAGCACTGTGTAGAATGACTTCAGAAAAACAAAGACAGGAACTTTCATGTCAGTGGTTTTCAATGGATTTTATTGCTAATGCATTTAAAGGAATTAAAGACTCTGAATTTGAAACAGTGAGTAGTATAAAAAAATACCAAATTAACAACAGTTTTTAAAAATCACTCTGCTTTTAAAAGTCTCTCTTTTTTTTAATATTAGGATTGCAGAGTATTTCTCAACCTTGTAAATGGCATGCTTGGAGACAAGAGAAGGTAAGTATAATACAGTATTCAACCATTTACTGACAAAGAACTAGAGCTCAAGAGGGAGTATACAGTGTTGAACCTTTAAAATTTATTTGTTGTGTTGGAATGGAAAATGCACAGAGATACTTAAAACGATATCCTATTGTAACACTGTGTAATAAGGTACTACATTGGTAGGCTGAAATAATCTTCCACTGGTCTTATTTTACTTCGTACTTTTTAGAGGAAACATGCATTTTTAGTTAATATTAATAACTTTGAGTGTTTGAAATTGATTTACTATAATTTAGAATTCCATTTGCATTATTATAAAAATCTAGGCATAAATATTACTTGAGCTACCTCCTTTCTCCACGTACTGTAATAAAAATATATGACAAACAAATACATTTTTTTATAATTAACATACACTAAGGCTAACCTTTCTGAGGTTATCTAATCTCGGGAATGGGCATGAATGAGAGGTAATTATCATAATTATCACTTTTGTTAGTAACAAAAGAATAGTATTTGGAGTTCAGTGTCTTGCACTGTATTTTAGATGCTCAGGATACATTTATTGGATGTGTGAGTTCACATTTACTTTAGGAAACAAAAGACAGGCTGAGGGTTAAGTGCAGGGACTCATGCTATTTGGATTTGAATTATAGTTCTCCTCTTCCTATTCTAATGTTGGGCAAAGTACTAAACTTACTTGTCTCAGTTCCTTAGCTGTGAAATTATACTAACACCTACCTCGTACGTTTGTTGTGAAAATTAAGTTAGATGATCATATGCTAAGTGCTCATAATATTATCTGCCCAAGAAAGCGTTCTGTGAATTCAGTCTTTTTTTTTTTTTAAGTTTATTTATTTATTTATTTTTTTGGGAGCCACCATGTGAGCTTTTGTGGGGGAGGGGTGGAGAAAGGGGGAGAGAAAGGATCCCAAGCAGGCTCCATGTTGTCAGTGTGGAGCCCGATGTGGGGCTTGGACCCACTAACTGTGAGATCATGACCTGAGCTGAAATCAAGAGTTGGACACTTAAACAGACTAAGGCGCCCCCTAGGTCATTTTTATCAGCAGTATTATTTATTTCTACTCTTCTTTTCCCACGTAAATCCTATGGGAGCTTCCACTGTACTGAAAGTATCTGCTAAATTAGGAATTTCTACTCTGAGTCGATGGCATGAAAAGTAAATTGGTACACTCACGCGAGTCAGAATGGAAGGTTGAGTAGTATCCTCAAAATAATACACAGAAACAAATTTCCATTAAACTCTTATTTTAAAATGTAATGAAGAAGGATAAGGGTTGGGCGTCTGCCTTCTGCTCAGGGTCATGGTCTTGCCTCTTGTGGGTTCAAGCCTTGCGTTGTGCTCTGTGCTGACAGCTCAGAGCCTGGAGCCTGCCTTGGATTCTGTGTCTCCCTCTCTCTGCCCCTCTGCCACTCATGTTCTATTTGTCTCTCTCAAAAATAAGTAAACATTAAAAAAAAGTAATAAGAAAGAAAAGATGATTTGATTTCCGTCGTTATGCCTACTTCCTGATTTCCTTCTGATCCTAGATATGCTCTCTATGGCTGGTCAGGATTACACTGTGAAGGCCTATTAATCTTTAGTGCAAACTACTTTTTTATTTCAGGGTCTTTACATTTCCTTGTTTATCAGCATTTCTTGATAAACATGAGGTGAGTTTTGAATTTAACATGTTTTAGTTATTGGATGAATTTTGATACCAGGGTCAAGTCAATTATAGCTTATAAATTGACAAGAACATTAAAAATAGTCATAATTTGATCAGAGATACAGCTAGTCTAGTCTAGTATTCTGTGTGTGTGTGTGTTTTCTGAAGTGATATATTTATAGCCAAGGATAACTTAAATAAAAGTCTGTGCTTCAGATTTTCTTTCTTTCCCTTAATCAAGCCCACTAATTGATTTATCATTCATTAATATATTCAGACTGATATTGTTAACCTTTATTTACACTTGGAATGTTTGTGATTTCTTAGAGCTCAGTTCTGTGTAAAATATTAAAGAAGCATTTCTTTTGATTGTTTCTAAATTGGTTTAAATGCTCTACTTGTCTGCCCTTTATCTTCCTCACCTTTCTCTTTTCTTAAAAACAAACACACAAACAAAACTGAACCATGAACATAACATAGGCCTCATTTTCTGTTGTTGTTTTTAAAATCATAGTCTATAACAGTTTTATATATTTGTTTTATTAGTTGAAAATACCTTCAGATGAAAAACTTGAGGAATTTTGGATAGATTTTAATCTTGGGAGCCAGGCTGTATCATTCTACGTTGCTGGAGATAACGACGTAAGCTTTATTCCATCTACCATTTTATATGTTTGTTTATGTACGTCTACAATGTCTTAATTTAAGAATGTGGATTTTTTTGTATGTTTATTTTTCTAGCTATTTTAATAGATTTTAGTATTAGCCCCATAGTTTTGATGAGCATGGTAACCCTTTAGCAGTTAATTAGAAATGAAAATTATTTCTGATGTTTTATTGCAACAGAAAATGCTAAATTTTAATACTAGTTTTTCAATCTGAGCTTTTCAGAAATAAATTACATGTTAATGATATAACATTTAACATTCATATGAACAAGAGTGAAATTTAGAAAAGACACCAGTTACTCAAATACAGAGGCACTCACTTAAAAATATTAACAGGTAATGACGAGTGGTCTTATACCTTCTAAAATCTTCTGTTTGAAAATAGAGAGGGATTGATTCTTATGGTGGTATTTGGAAGAGATTTGCTTCTTTATTGCTATATTAATAGCTATGTTTAAACTTTCCAGCCAGATGGTATATTTTCTACTGACTTCTTTTTAACCTGAGCAGAATTCTTGAGTCATTGTTTCCAAATAGCTATCCTTAATATTTGGTCCGTAGGCAAGCTTCTAGTCCTAACCATATAGTCACTTCGTAAACATCCAACTAAGAGTTGATCCGCATTTACTAATCAGATGTGGTTGCGGATACTTTAATGAGGATTTAGTCATTTTAGTCTGCTCTTGTAAAATACTGCTTTTTGTTCCAGGTAAACTATGGATAGACCTTAACAAAATGCTCCTGAAGATTTCCACATTATTTCTTTTTATGTTAGAGTATCTTCATAGAATACTTAATTAAAATTGAGTTCCAGATACTAGCACTGCTTCTCAGGGTCACTGACAGTTTTCATTAGTGTAATTATTCTTTTACGGTTTGTAGGAATATTTTTAACTGGATTTTTAGGAATGGGATTTCATTTTGTTTTGTTTTTTTTTTAATTTTTTTTTCAACGTTTTTATTTATTTATGGGACAGACAGAGACAGAGCATGAACGGGGGAGGGGCAGAGAGAGAGGGAGACACAGAATCGGAAACAGGCTCCAGGCTCCGAGCCATCAGCCCAGAGCCTGACGCGGGGCTCGAACTCACGGACCGCGAGATCGTGACCTGGCTGAAGTCGGACGCTTAACCGACTGCGCCACCCAGGCGCCCCAGGAATGGGATTTCATTTTGGAAGAAGATAGAATAGGATTGATATAGTCCCTACCTTTACTCAGTTTGATGTTATGGATGATTCCAACAAGAAAATAAGCAATTATAGTATGATACATGGTAGGGATAGTATAAAATGCATTTATAAGTGTTAAATCCTGCTGTGTTCCAGATACTGATCTAGAAATGTAGGGAGATTCTTCTTCCAAAACACGTATTCAGAATCCCCTCCTTTCTGGATTTTCTGTAGCAATAGTACATTCTCCCTGTATTCTCTCTGACTTTCTTAGGATCCATACTCTGTAGAGTGGCTGCTTAAAACCCATCTTTTGTCTCTTTAACATTGTATATGAGGGTCTTTATGATCTGGCCCCTGGCTGTTTCTCTGACATCTCAGGACCATTCTCTATGCTTACTATGTTCCAGCCACATTCATTTTTTTTTTTTTTTTTCTATTTCTTTAACAAAGATCATGCCCATTTCGGATCTCTCTACTTGCTGGTTCTTCTGCCTAGAAGGTGCCAGATCTTTGCATCTTAGTTTCTTCCCATTTCGGTTTCAGTACAAATATTGCTTCTTTATGGAGATATTCTCTGGTAACTCCATCTAATGTCTAAAGTTGCCTCCCAACCCCATTATATCACATTGTCTTGTTTTATTTCCCTTACAGTAGTAATTGTTGCTTAAAATCATTTTGTTTGTTGTTTGTTTTCCCCCAACAGAGTATAAGATTTATGAAACCAAGGACTTGTGTCTTCTTATTTATAGCTAATCAAGGACTCAAATTTATTGCAAGAATGAGTGAATAGAAAACTCACAGAACTGAAAGATTTATGGTATGGTTAGTACATAGAGTGGAAAGGAGATTGGAAAGAAATAAAGCAGTGTGGAGCCAAAGAAGGGTTACAAGTAGGAAGTAACATCAATTCAAGGAACATTAAGTAAGAAATTACTATGTGCAAGATTTATGCTAGGCACTGAGGCTCACCTTCTTGTTAAAGATTCTTTGGGGGGGGGGGGGTGGAGAACAGATTAAAAAGGGACAAGACCAGTGGCAGGAGACCTGTGGTAATGCTGGTGAGAAGTCATGCTGGTGTGATCTTGGAAAGTGACAGTAGAGATGGATGGAAATGAAGGGATTCCAGGAAGACTTGCAAAGAGAATTGAGCAGACCTGATTTTTCTCTGGCAAAAAGAGAAAGAAGGATTAATAAAGCTTGAGTGGGTGGATAGAGCTGTGTCACAGGAGGATGCGTTCTGTAGCAGAAATAGGGGGAGTTCAGTTTTGCATGTTTGACTTGGAGATCCTTGTGGGACATTCAGCAAAGATGTCTGCTAGGCAGTTGGATATACTGATCTGAAGTTCAAGTGAGGGAAGTGTGCACAGTGGAGATTTAGAAGCCATCTATGTATAGATGATAAACACGATCATGGGATGTAATGACAGAACTGGGAACCACAGATATACGCAGCATAGGTAGAAGGAATGCTAGCCCGAAGGACACTTACAGAATCAGCCAAAAGAGAACAAACTGGAAGGGTGTCATGTTATGAAAGTGAAGAGAAGGGTGTTTTTTATGAGGGTGAAAATGGTGAACAGTGTCAGATCAAGTGTTAACTGACATCAGAACTGGTGATCCGTGAGACAGCAGTTCTATGGAAGCCATGCGGTTTGTGCATTCCTGGAATGTTTGCATGTGTGTGCAAGAAGTCAGGATGCCAAGTCAGTCGCTTAAAGTGAGATTGGATTCAAAGGGGGGTTTTTGTGAGGTACTCTGTTTTACTTTAAGAATAAGAGCTTTTCCAAACCGATGGCCAGGATGATAGATTAAATAAAAACCAAGGTCGTGGTGCCTGGGTGGCTCAGTCTGTTGAGCGTCCGACTTCGGCTCAGGTCATGGTCTCGCAGTTCGTGGGTTTGAGCCCCGCGTCAGGCTCTGTGCTGACAGCGCAGAGCCTGGAGCCTGCTTCGGGTTCTCTGTCTCTCCACCTCTCGGCTCCTCTCCTGCTCATGCTCTGTGTCTCTCTGTCTCTCAAAAATAAATAAACGTTAAAAAAAAACAAACCCACAAATAAAAACCAAGGTCAAGAGGAAGAGCATACAATAGAAGGAGGGTAGGCAGTGAAGGTGAAGCAAGATGTGCGTAGCGTACTGGGGCCTGTGGAGGCTCGGCGAGGGCACAGTTGGTTTTGTTATACGAGGACTTGTACTTTTAACCCATATGAAAATGTCCCTAAGATAAAAATTTCTTAAAAAGGAAGGCAGTAAAGCAGGAAGCATCACTTTGCAGTTAGAACCTGAAAATGGCCAGCTGCATATGCCTCACGGGAGCAAGTTTTTTTATACCCAGAGAGACCTGAAACTGCTCAGAGTGTCGGGCAGAAAAGACAAGACCGACCCTTTCCTCCCGGCTCTGAGGTTTTGCGGTATATGGGGCAGCCAGCACCATAGCCAGAGATGTGGTTGCAGTAGCGGTAGTAGCGGTGGGGCCCTCAGCCTGTGCACCGGTTTCAATCCAGGCCGAGAAGTGGAGGCAGTTAGCAAACAGATGGAGGGTTCAGGTGAATTCCCTAGAATGAGTTGTCCCGAGCCGCAAAAGGACTGGGTCTGTTTTCCTCACCAGATTAGTGGGAGGTGTTCGGATCCCATCTCTTAGCAGTGGAATCTAATTTTTCCTGTAGCTTTTGTGCATGTGTGAAATCAGTGTTACCCCGTTATACAAATTTTCAGCAAAAGCACTGGGAAGGGAGAAGGGGGAAATATTTCAGCTATTATTCATATGCATTCCGTGTTCGAATCTAAGGACAGGCAATGAGTGGGAATTGATGAATGTGCATGATTTCGCACAGTATTTCAAAGGCAAAATAACAGGATTTGGTAACATTCTTAAAAAGGATATTCTCCAGTGGGGCGCCTGGGTGGCGCAGTCGGTTAAGCGTCCGACTTCAGCCAGGTCACGATCTCGCGGTCCGTGGGTTCGAGCCCCGCGTCGGGCTCTGGGCTGATGGCTCAGAGCCTGGAGCCTGTTTCTGATTCTGTGTCTCCCTCTCTCTCTGCCCCTCCCCTGTTCATGCTCTGTCTCTCTCTGTCCCAAAAGTAAATAAATGTTGAAAAAAAAAATTAAAAAAAAAAAAAAAAAAAGGATATTCTCCAATATATATTAATGGTAGTTACTCTTTTTTTTTTTTTTTTTGTGGTCAAGAATAGAAAACCAGGAAATTATACCATCAAATTTTGTTTTAAAAGTGAACAAGCAGATTAAATGTGGCCTGTAATGTATTTATTACACAATCAATTGATGGAGCAAGAAATAGGTTGTATCAACTGGTTACTTAGTGGTACTTAATAAAAAATAAACTTGTTTGTATAACTTAAAAACTGGTGTTTAAAGAGGGTGTAAAGCAGGGGTAAATTATTTATTTATGGTCAAACCTGTTTTTAAATTTAAGGATCATCAATGGGAAGCAGTGACTGTGCCTGAGGAAAGAGTACAAATATACAGCATTGAAGGTATTAAGCTTATTTTCTACTTGATTCTTATCACATGGCAGTTATATGCTCTCTGGGGCAAAAAAAATACTCATGAAAACAAAGTCAACAGTTCCTTGTATTCACATTAATAACAGAATTCCCTGAACCCACATTTCCCTCACCCCCAATTTCCTAACTCCTTTTGGAACTTATTTTTGTTATCTAGTCTAAAACCCATGATCAGTCACTTTATTGTCAATATATTCAAGGCTCTTGCCTTTTTATTCTGTTAGTATGATTAGATCCAGACATCTAGTTCCTGCACTTTTATGACTGGCATTGTATAACATTGCTGGACAAAGTCCTACAACTTGTAAGGCTGGCCCCACTATAGATTCACATATCAAGATATATTTTAGTCATTTCAGTGGGGATGTAGTGGTATGTCATGATAGTCTTTTGTTTTTAATTAAAAAAACTTTTTTAATGATTGTTTATTTTTGAGACAGAGAGAGAGAGACAGAACATGAGCTGGGAGGGGCACAGAGAGAGGGAGACACAAAATCCAAAGCAGGCTCCGGGCTCTGAGCTGTCAGCACAGAGCCCAACGCGGGGCTCAAACTCATGAACCATAAGCCGAGTTGGACGCTCAACCGACTGAGCCACCTAGGCACCCCAGTCATGATTGTCATTAATTGCAAATAACTGGTGACGAGAAATGCTAAGCACTTTTATTATTTTTTTTTAATTCAAATCCAAGTTAGTAAACCTATAGTGTAATAATGGTTTCAGGAGTAGAAATTAGTGATTCATCACTTAAGTATAACACCCAGTGCTCATCTTTAATGACCATCACCCATTTAGTCCAACACCTCTCCAGCAACACTCAGTTTGTTCTTGGTATTTAGGAGTCTCTTATGGTTTGCCTCCCTGTTTTTATTTTATTTTTTCTTCCCTTCCCGTGTGTTCATCTGTTGTGTTTCTTAAATTCCACATGTGTGAAATCATATGATATTTGTCTTTCTTTGACTTATTTAGCTTAATGTAATACCCTCCAGTTCCATCCATGTTGTTGCAAATGGCAGGATTTCAATCTTTTTGATCTCTGAGTCGTATTCCACTGTGTGTGTTTGCGCACACGTATACATACACACACATAATAACACACACACACACACACATAAACATCACATTTCCTTTATCCATTAATCAGTTGATGGACATGCAGGCTCTTTCCATAATTTGGCTATTGTCAGTAGTGTTGCTGTAAACGTTGGGGTGCATGTGCCCCTTTGAATCAGCATTTTTGTATCCTTTGGATAAATACCTAGTAGTGCAACTGCTGGGTTGTAGGGTAGCTCTATTTTCAATTTTTTGAGGAACCTCCATACTGTTTTCCAGAGTGGCTGCAATAGTTTGCATTCCCACCAGCAGTGCAAAAGGGTTTCCTTTTTGAACACTTTGGGGTGTTCTCTCGCCAACATCTGTTGTTGCCTGAGTTGTTAATTTTAGCCATTCTGAAAGGTGTGAGGTGGTATCTCACTGTGGTTTTGATTTGTATTTCCCTGATGCTGAGTGATGTTGAGTCTCTTTTCATGTGTCTGTTAGCGATCTGTATGTCTTCTTTGGAAAAGTGTCTATTCATGTATTTTGCTCATTTCTTCACTGGAATATTTGTTTTTTGGGTGTTGAGCTTGAGAAGTCCTTTATACATTTTGGATGCTAAGCCTTTGTCTGATACCTCATTTGCAAATATCTTCTCCCATTCTGTCAGTTGCCTTTTAGTTTTGTTGATTGTTTCCTTTACTGTGCAGAAGCTTTTTATCTCGATGAGGTCCCAATAGTTCGTTTTTGCTTTTGTTTCCCTTGCCTCCAGAGACGTGTCTAGTAAGAAGTTGCTGTAGCTAAGGTCAAAGAGTTTGTTGTTTGTTTTCTCCTCTAGAATTTTGATGGTTTCCTGTCTTACATTTAGGTTTTTTATCCATTTTGAGTTTATTTTTGTGTGTGGTGTAAGAAAGTGGTCCAGGTTCGTTCTTCTGCATGTCGCTGTCCAGTTTTCCCAGTACCACTTGCTGAAGAGACTGTCTTTTTCCATTGGATACTCTTTCCTGATTTGTCAAAGATTAGTTGGCCGTACCTTGGTGGGTCCATTTCTGGGTTCTCTATTCTCTTCCGTTGATCTATGTGTCTGTTTTTGTGCCAGTACCATGGTATCTTGATTACAGTCTTGTAGTATAACTTGAAGTCTGATACTCTACGTGGAAAACCCAAAAGCCTCCACCAAAAAACTGCTGATACTGATACATGAATTCAGCAGAGTAGCAGGATATGAGATCAATGTGCAGAAAGAAATCAGTTGTATTTCTATATACCACTTATGAAACAGCATAAAGAGAAATCAAGGAATCAGTCCCATTTACAGTTGCCCCAAAACCCATAAAACACGTAGGAGTAAACCTAGTTGAAGAGCTAAAAGATCTGTATGCTGAAAACTATAGAAAGCTTGTGAAAGAAATTGAAGAAGACACAAAGAAATGGAAAAACATTCCATGCTCATGGATTGGAAGAACAATTATTGTTAAAATGTCAGTACTACCCAAAGCAATCTACACATTCAGTGAAATCCCTATCAAAATATTACCAGCATTCTTCACAGAGCCGCAACAAACGATTCTAAAATTTGGATGAAATCGCAAAAGACCCCGAATAGCCAAAGTGATGTGGAAAAAGAAAACCAAAGCTGTAGGCATCACAATTCCGGACTTCGAGCGCTTTTACATATGCTTGGTTGTCATTCATATATATTCCTTTGTGACGTATCTGTTTAAATATTTTGCCCTTTTTTTTACTGGGCTGTCTTTTTTTATATTAAGTTTTTGGATTCTTACAAATATCGTGCATACCGATCCTTTGATAGATACATATGTGTATTCTCTCCCCATCTGTGTCTTGCTTTTTAAGTTTGTTAATGGTGTCTTTAATGAGCAGAAGTCTTTAAGTTTACAGTCCACTTTATCACTTTTTTCATTTGTGCTTATAGCTTTATGTAACTTTTGCCTACTACCAAATCATAAAGAACTTTTGTTTTTCTGTCAGAACTTCGTGGTTTTAGCTTTTATGTTTAGGATTATGATCCATTACAAATGAATATTTGGTTCTGGTATGATACAGGAGTTGAGGTTCATTTTTATTTTTCAATGGACATGCAGTTACTTCTAGGACTATTTGATGAAAAGGCTTTCCTTTCCCCACTGCATGTCATGGATTCCCTTCTTGAAAGTCAGATGACTGGGGGCACCTGGGTGGCGCAGTCGGTTAAGCGTCCGACTTCAGCCAGGTCACGATCTCGCGGTCCGTGAGTTCGAGCCCCGCGTCAGGCTCTGGGCTGATGGCTCAGAGCCTGGAGCCTGTTTCCGATTCTGTGTCTCCCTCTCTCTCTGCCCCTCCCCCGTTCATGCTCTGTCTCTCTCTGTCCCAAAAATAAATAAACGTTGAAAACAAAAATTAAAAAAAAAAAAAGTCAGATGACTGATAGAAGTTCACATCTTATTTCTTAAAGCCGTACTCCATCCCACGGATCTATTTTCCTTTCACTATGCCAGTCCCACACTGTTTTAATTACTGTAGATTTTTAGTTTTGAAATTGGGTAGTACAAGTCTTCTAAAATTGTGGGTTTTTTTTTTTCAGGAAATTCTAGATCTTTTGTATTTCCATATAACTTTTATTTTTTTATTTTATTTTATTTTATTTTTTTCAACGTTTATTTATTTTTGGGACAGAGAGAGACAGAGCATGAATGGGGGAGGGGCAGAGAGAGAGGGAGACACAGAATCGGAAACAGGCTCCAGGCTCTGAGCCATCAGCCCAGAGCCCGACGCGGGGCTCGAACTCACGAACCGCGAGATCGTGACCTGGCTGAAGTCGGACGCTTAACCGACTGCGCCACCCAGGCGCCCCTCCATATAACTTTTAGAGTTGACCTACTACTTGCTACAAAAGGCCCGCTGGATGTAGCAGTATGTATGATTGCGATTGTAGTTTGAGAGGGGGAGAGGCAACATTGTGACAATAGTACGTGTTTCAGTCCACAAACGTGGTATATCTTTACATTTATTCAGGTCTTTAATTTCGCTCCACAGCGCTTTGTAGTTTTCAGTGTAGAAATCTTACACACCCCTTGATGAACTTATTCCTGAGTCTTCAATCTTACCTTATATGATTGTAAATGGAATGAATCTTGAATTTCATTTTCCAAATATTTTCTATTAGTATATAAAAATATAACTGATTTTGCAATACTTGCCTTGTATCCTACAGCCTTGCCAAAGTCACTATTTAGTTCCAGTGGTTGTAATGTGGATTCCTGAGGTTATTCTAGGTAGTCGGTCATGGTATCTGCAGATAGAGATAGGGTTTTACTTCTTTCTGATTCTAAGGCCCTTCCTTAACTAACTTACTTCCTTTATTCTTCTCCATTCTTCCCTCCCTTTCTTTCTTTATCCTTCTTTTATTCTCCCCTCCCTCCCTTCCTTTATTCCTCCCTTTGCATTATTGCAATGGCTAGAACTTCTAGTACAATATTGAATACAAGTGGTAAAAGTGGTCATCTTTGCTTTCTTCATCATCTTTGCTTAAGGAAGAATGTTGAGTATTTGACCATTAAGCATGACGTTAGCTGAAGGTTTTTGTAGATAAACTTCCATCGGGTTGAGGAAGCTGGTGAGTCTTCACATGTATAAACATACATTGAAACCATTAGGGTATTCAAGTTAGTAAATATATCCAGTCTCCCTAAATGTTCTTTATGCTCCTTTTTTTTTTAATTTTTAATTTTTAGGGGCGCCTGGGTGGCTCAGTCGGTTGAGCGTCCGACTTCAGCTCAGGTCATGATCTCGCGGTCTGTGAGTTTGAGCCCCGCATCGGGCTCTGGGCTGATGGCTCAGAGCCTGGAGCCTGCTTCCGATTCTGTGTCTCCCTCTCTCTCTGACCCTCCCCCGTTCACGCTCTGTCTCTCTCTGCCTCAAAAATAAATAAACAT